TGTGCTTCCACAAAAGGTATATATTTCCACTAGTAAATAGTATTTACTTATATGTTTACACTGCGTGGTTGTTTAAAGAAGGTCAATGAAGTGTGAATTTGGTAATTCATTCATAAGGATATGAAATATTTTGCATATGTTTCTATGGAATGTTTCATACATGTATTAGTAATCAGTGACGCAAGCATCCTTGAAATAACATTTTTTCAACAAATGATAGTATTGCTTTAAAAAATAAATATAATAATATATTTGTTATCTTGAACAATGTATTGTGGGATATCATATCAATAATCTGACTAGCGATTAAACACTTTAACACAGATTATTGAATCAACGATATTCATGATCGATATATTTATTTTTCTTACTGTATTTCCACTATATATTTTCCTGCAGAATAATCTTTCATAACAGTTACGTAGGAGTTAGAAATAGTATTTAAATTTCTTAAGAAATGTAAACATAAATGTTTTGTTTCTACAGTTATTTTTCGGTAAGTTAACTCAGAGTAGAACGTGGGGAAATAAGTGGTTTCAAGTTAAATCACTAACTCATCTTAGTTAGACAACCAATGGAAACCTGAAAGCAGCTGATGGTCGTCTCGCCTTAGTATGAGACTTTTCAATGTGGTGCGCAACGGTAGTCGTGTGCTCACTACTGATTACCTTCGAGAGGAAATTTCCATAGTTCAGGTAAGAAGCCGTGACTAGTGGAGATCATCCGTGTCGAGTTTGAGGAAGATATTTGTCGATGACAATAAAGAATGATCGTGTATTGATTGAAGTTAGACTTATGCGCTACTGAATTATGACGTAATGGTCTAAAGATTAGTGTTTATGTATGAGCCTGGAGGTCGTGGGTTCGATTCGCGGTTTCAGAATCGTCAGTACACACTTCTGGGGAGTTGTGTACTAGGACGAAACGATCGTCCGACGATTCCAAGTTTTCGATAAGTGTACAACCTATATCGTCTTGTGGTTTCAATGAACTTCAGCAGTCAACACAACCTCATATTAACAATTAATTTTAAGTCCAGTAAAAATTTTACAAACGCGTATATAAATTGGTATTATATATATATATATATATATATATATATATATATATATATATAAATTCATATGTATTTCGTAAGAAAATTATATCATTCATGGATATGGAAGACATTATAAAAACAATTCCGTTAAAGTAAATGCTTTATTCTAAATGATGAGTTTATGTTCAGTCATAAATTATTAAAATAAATAAATATAGAGTTAACCGATGTCATTGATCTCTCAAATATTTTCCCATTTTAGCGCTCATTTTCCATCGATTTTTCTCCAATAAGATTTTCGCTGATAGCTCAAATGATCTTTTTTATACAGAATGTAATTTTCTTTTACAACCTACTTTCCTTATTATGTAGTCACCCGTAAAATAGTGATTAACTGGTTTAACAGAATTAAACGGGTATCAAATACAGTCTAACATTTTTGATTTTCGAACACTGGAATTGAACTAGTTAGGTCCTGTTGATATGAGAAATTTATCCATAGCCGTATGTTCATCAGATCAATTACTGATTATTAGGTAATTTAAAAATATTTCTTTATGTGTGTCTTGCTCAACCAGATTCATATCCTGCGATAACTCATAAAAACATGTCAACAGCAAATCTCCAATGAAACAAAATATCCTTCAGTAATATATTGTACTATTTCTAAATGGTCATTTCACTAATCTACATGACCAAGATTTTTGGTAAACACTGTAGAATGAATTGTCCCCTATCTAGCCTGGTTGTGATTTAAAGAGAATCATTATTTGGTGAGAAATTTTAAAAATAATGGGTTGAAGTATGATGACGGTTCACCGGCAGCTTAACAAAATGAACTACTATTCTCAACATTTTAAAAATTCTAGATGGTTTCCTTAGATAAATTACTTGTCTCTTTGTGTTTTTGAATGTTGGAATATAGCAGGTTTACAAAATTTCCAAGCTTAAAGAACAACTTTTAACTATTGTAAGTGAAAAATTGAAATAATTAGCTAAGCTGAATAGAATAATCTAATCACAACCTGACTTTGCTATTAGACACATAAAAGTGTTTATGAAGCATTAAAAGCAACATTTCTTATTTAGAATAGTTGAAGGGAAAGTTGAGAAAAAATGATTTGACTCACACCAACACATATACATAAAATATTTACATTTCAAGATATTCCATGTGGATTTGGAATCTGACTTTTCCGCTCGATAAACTAGTTGCTTTTTGTATTGTCTAGTTACATAATCTATATTACTGAATAATAAGTTTGCACACTGTTAATCTTATTTCAAAGCCACGTAATCTGCAGCTTCAATGAGTTTTGGGTTGATATTAATGATCGCGAGGTTAAAGTGCATACATCGATTCCTTTGAGAAGGTCCTCTGAGTTGGGGAATTTTTCTCATCAAAAGTACATCAAAAATAAAAATCAACGCGTCATCATCTAAAAGTCATTCTGGAATTTTTCATGAAAAGTTAAAAACGAGAAACAGGGAAACTTTTTCACTCTTGGTATCCTTTGAATCACCATCTTAAGTGCAACTAAATTTTGTGACTGGATATTGTGTATACTTGGCATGTTTTTTGTTAGTCATGAATAAATTATTTCCTTTAGGTAGCATAATTTTAATATTGTTTCAACAGTAATGTTTGGACAGTAATCTTTTTCATATTGTCATTTTTCCAATTAAATATATATGAGGTTCTTAGAGTTTGATGTATTCATAAAACAAGAAATATCTGAGCTGTTTTAATTATATATATATATATATATATATATATATATATATATATATATATATATACGTTCAAGGCTGGTCTCTACACTTTTTACAGTGTTCACGAGGATCTTATTTGTTTGAAATCCAAGTTATCAATGCTTCTCAATGCCATTAGGACTTATAATAGATTGAATCAACTTGACAATGAAATTAAAAAGTTCAACTACAGATTAGATTTGGGCTATAATGTGATTAATATTGTATCCAGTTTGTTATCTGACCAATTATTCATTTAGACGTTTGGATCATTCATCTTCAAAGTTTAAATACATATGCACATGTTATGAAAACTTTAAATCCATTTAAAATAACTAGATATAAACGCTCGTGTTGTATGACCAAGCATATACATGCCGACTTTAAATCAATGTGATTAAAGCAACTATCAGTAGTAGAATATAACACCAACTATATACAGAAAACCTATCCTTCTGGTGACATTTAGATGTATTAAAATTTATGACAATGTAAATGCTATGTATATTTGGATGACGGATTAAGTTATAGTTTCCTCCTTGGAGTCTTCTCTTGTCCGTAGATTACAGCATGCACTGTAATCACTATCATATAATACTATAGATGAAATTCCCTCACCTTCAATTTCAGGCATAAATCATCTATATATGTAAGATTATATTTAGCTTATCGTTTGACAATTTCTGTCATAATTTACCTTGAAACTTTAGGTATTCCATATTCTAGAGAGCTATCACTTCTAACCATCACATCCAAAGTTGTTTTGATAATCTATATTGTTGACCATATTAAATCAAATCACAATTTCACTTCCTAATTTTATTTTTCCTCATTCCAAAAACTTTATCATTTTCTTTTATATTATTCTACTTAAATGAAATAAGTTCAATTTACTTTTGATTACTTTCTGTCATAGCTTGTTTATTTAAACGAAAAACATTTATTTGTTTTGATATGTCATAAATGTCTATCACTTTGTTTTTGCTGTTTATAATTTAAATCTAATGAATCTCTTTTGTTTATGTAGATTATTTAATGACGATTATTAATTATAGATCAGAAGGGGTCTTGTGGAGATTTCAATATTTTCATAGTTGAAATCATGAGTCAATTGAACGATTGCTCAATTTCGTGGATTGGTTGAAGTTAGACATTTACACCGTTGGATGCCGGCCTGCTCAGTGGTCTATCGGTTAAGTGCTCACGTGCGAGACTGACAGGTCCTGGGTTCAAATCTCGCGAGGCGGGATCGTAGATGCTCACCGTTGAGGAGTCCCACAATAGGACGAAACGGTCGTCCAGTGCTTCCTGGTTTCTCATGGTGGTCTAGCTTCAATTGACTTATGATTTCAACTATGAATATTAATTAGTTTAAATTCATCAATAATTACAACTTGTTATTTCATTTCATCTACTTATAGTTAAACTAAAGTTGATTTTGATAGTGCAATAAGATGAAGATTATCAGAACTATGTATTATATTAGTGCAATACTTTTCGAACAATCGGTTATATTGCGCTAATATATCACATAGTTCTGTTAATCCTCGTCTTCTTTTTACACTATCGAAATTTATCGAAGGGACTAAATGCTTTAAAGTTGATTTATTTTTAGAACATTTTAATAATTAAATTTTATTTATCTTCAAAATATTGATTTTTGTATCAAACATTGTACATTTAGCTCATACAGTATTCAAATTCCACTATTAATTACTACTTCTTTTACACAGTTTATTATAAGGGTTGGGTTCAAAACTGGGGTACTAGAATTGTATAGTTTTGTGTTTCATCTTTTAATATTTACTCATAATATTTAAAGCTATATTTAAGCCATTTAGACTGATGGAAACTGCTTTGTCTATACACAAACCATTCATTGTCTCCATTGAATTGCATTCTTGATAATAACAGGTAATAATTATCTTCACTTGGCATTGTTTGCATGTATCTTCACATTATCATTTAGGACTGCAATTGATCAGTCTTTTGTTGGCATATTATCTTCTTACAAGGTTATATTATTATTTATGAGTGAAAAAACAGGCTACTAATAACAATGTATGTTTGTAATGATGCTCTATATATATGTATATGTTATTTTGTTAATCTAAAGTATATATTTGCTATATTTGGTAACAATTTCCAATGTTAACATTATTTTGTTTTTATTTATTTTCTTCCCCTAAAAAACAAACAAATAAAACAGTTTACGCAGACGTGCTAAACCGGAATTGGAAAATGTACAACACAAAGATGTATCACTTCGAATATCTATACAAGAAGTTAAAAATCTTTCAGCTAAAGGACGGTATGTTTTGTATTAATTGAATGAGTTTTTTTTGTAAGTAGAAACTAACATGTGTATTAAATAATCAATTTCAAAACAGTTTTCTATGAATTTTATTGATGTATCAAAGAATATTTCAATTAAAATATTGTTATATCGATTGAGTGCGTGCTTGCACAGTTGATATGTATGACGTTATGAGATCACCGATTGGAAAGCAGTGTTTATCAATCAGATCAATAATACACAAAGTCGTATTGTAGTGAACAGAACACGACTGGGGACAATCGAATGTATGTAAGCAAAAATTACAGACTATCTCAGTAAATTCCGGTAACCAAACAATGAACAGTCAATTTGCAAATTAACAATCAATTGTTTCAATCTTCACTGTCTCTTCTCCAATTCCATTGCTCATGCATTTTCCAAACGATTGCGCTTCATTTCAGTTCTTTCCTCATCGGTCTTCTGCCAAAATACATTCTATGTCTGACCGACACCATATACTACTTATATGGATATAAGTAGACCACACCACAGTATGAGCAGTCTTGAGCACTTATCATTCCTGCTTTCTGCCCAGGCTAACCAGTTAATTCCAGAACACCACTAACAACCTCTGCAATATCAGTCATTATTCTCAAACATACTGGGTTTATATACCAATCAAACAGACCACATCGTACCGTAAAATAGAAAATAACATTTGTACAAGATTTGGCCAAATGTGGCTGTGAATAGGGGGAACAGTAATTAATAGAATAGGGATAACTCCAGAATGGTAAATCGTATAATAATAGTCAACAGGTCAAAATAAAGCTTATGATAAGATGAACACGAATACGAATAGTTTAATGACTTAACAATTATACAATAGGAAATATACATATCACATCGGTCCATAAATAGTTCTCAAAGTTGCCATTCGTAATTCTCCACGGGATACAACAAATATCAAAAGAATACGATACATAAAATATGCTTTTATTTTTATCGCCAAACCAATGAAACAGGTGGAAATGGGACTTATATAATGCATGAATCGATTTAATGGTCTTTTATATATGTAAACTGACTATTCAGCTATCAGTAAATCATTCTATGTCATGTAACCTGCTTTTTACATATGTCTAACCAACGAAAACCATCCAAGTTTATATGGAAAATAGAGTCAAAGGTACGATATGGTCTGCATGCGGAATGAAATGTAACAGTCTATCAATCGTTATATCATATAATAGTCTTCTTAAACTGTCATATATATTACGAAAACTTAAAATGTTTTGCATTAAATCTCTAAAAGGCCTTTTTGGAATTAACTATACAAACCTGATATTAGAAAAAACAGACAGTTTCAAGTGCTGATCAGTTCAAAGTACAGTGGACAGTACTTTTTCTATATACAACATTTAGCGTTGCTTTGTAATTTGCTGTAGCTAGAATTCGTGGAATATACGTTCGTTCGACGTCATTTGCTGACTTCATCATCACTTAAACTATTTGTTTAATGAAAAATACTTTTCAATTGGCATTTGCTTGTTTTACAGATAGGAACTATTGTTTAGGTGTGGATGCTTTTCATAAATGTTAACTAGTAATGTTGTACAGCAATAATTTTCAACGGCAAATGATAAGTGGACAATCACTAGTTCATATCCTAGCAATGTTATGGTTTTGATCATTATGATCTACTTGCTTCACTCTTCTAATACATCATTTCATAGGTAGAAAAAGACGTATGTGAATGATGTATGCATACTGACTTATCTAAATAAACATAAGAAAAACTAAATCAATTATTATAAAATATGGAACTTATTCCAATCATTCATCCAACATCTAAAGTCAAAGAAAATATGCAATCATTGAAAAAGTTATCTACATGTACTTACGATACAAAGAATTAGATATTTATCTACATATCAAGCTAAACGTTCATGTTTTCCACCAACGTATTCTACATTCAAATAAACTAAGCAAACCATCAAATCATTCGGGATTTCTTTTATATATTACTAAATAGAAAATGTCTTATGACGTCATAGTATAAGTAGGAACCTGAGGTAAACATAAGAGAAATATTAGAAAAAATTAAGTTTGATATAAATTAGTACGTTTTTGACCTGTCTACCTATCTTAGTGCCGGAGATAGCTTGTCTAACGTAGATTAAGACCTTGACGCGGTAGGCTGACTGTCTAGTATGCATGATTTCGAACTGGGGTAGAGAGACGAAAATTATTCTATCACCTGACAGGCACGTGCGCGAGAGAGAAGACAAGTCAACTAGAACACTACTTGATTTATTCCAGATTTCGATCTGGTACCCGAATTCAGATTAATGTAAGAAGATACATTAATAATAAGATGACTAACCCGACCACAACGTACAACAACTAAGAAAATACAATTATGTCCGAACTGGGGGATTAGAGTAGAAAATAGGGTACAAAAGATTACGTCCAAATTACATTAGATTTAAAACAGAAAAGGCTATGGTAGTAAATCATACATCAAACGAAAGCTTATGATCTGTAAAATAGACTAGAGATAAAAATGAATGTTACTGTATTACGAGCTTTGAATTAAATGAAATAACGTCCCCGAAAATAGCTTTCATAGTTTTTCAAAGCTTCTTGTTTCTCTGCTCACATCATAAATTAAAAACTTCTCTCTTTGATTAAATAAAAAAATATTTAAATATAATTCACTTAGTATTGTTTGTTTGAATCTTCCAATTGTTGCTTAGGACTGCAACTGGTCAGTCTCTAATTGGCATATGTGCATACTGTGCGTATTGCCTCGATATTGCCTTAATTCACAAGCATTATAAGCAAAGATGGATAGTTGCTAGCAGTGGAATCCAGGACGCGCGTTTCGTCTTTTTGGGGACTCGTCATTAGGATGTACCCGCATCTCAGATTTGATGTTCACTCTGAGTAGATAACGCGATGGCATTTAAAGCGAAATGTACTGGTTTCGAGTCTCAGAGTTAACATCAACTTTGAGTTGCAGGTATATCCAGCTGACGAGTCCCAAATAAGAAGAAACGCACGTCCTGGATTCCAATGCTAGCCACTAACCACCTTCGCTTATTTAAATATAATGTTTGAAACGAAAAAAATTCTCCTATCCAATCATCGGAACGTTTTAAATTATCTCAATAAGAGAGGGCAACAGTATCTTAACATTTTTCTCTTTAACGTGATTACAAAAAAATTCGTTTTCTTATTCTGTACGCATAAAGATTAAGGATTAAAAAAAATTGAAAACAAAAATCTGTTTATACTTTAAAAATTGTAGTCATTTAATTTGTTATTTTTGAATTATGTTAGAATCTCTAAAGAACTACTTCACTTTTAAAGCAAAACGTTTCAAATAATGAACTTGGATCAGTAAGTAAACACATAAACTAGATTTTCTCTAGAGATATGAAGAAAAAATACGAAAAGTAATAAACTAGAATTTTATGACTGGAATATTATGTTTATAGGGTAGTGACCTGTAGAAAGTACTATGAATTTGATTAAAATCTTGTAATGTATGTTTCTTGCTTAACATAAGGCGATACAAATTTAAGAAAGAGAAATTGAATTAACTGAGATAGATCAGTAAAAGCGGTACTGGTTTTCAGATATTACGAATAATTAAAATTTAAATCTTTCTACAATAGAACAAAAAATACTTTGAAATAAATTGAATTACAATGAAAGACTATTTACGTGTTTTAATTTTCATCTTATATGCTGAGATATAAAGTTTATGGATACAATATAATAGGTAATAGTATGTATTGATCTAACAAAATTATAAAACCAAGTGACTTGACAGCATAATTCACTGTCCTTAATACTTTCTTTTTTCAAATAGCTGTTGAAAATCTATAAAACTTTGATTTTAATTTTGTAACAATCTGGGAAATAAAGATGGATTGTGCCTAGCAGATGAATCTAGGACACATGTGTCGTCCTATTTGGGACTCGTCAGTTGGATGTAGCCGCACCTCAGAGTTGATGTTCACTCTGAGAATCGAACCCAGTACCGTTCGCTTCAAACGCCGTCGCGTTATCTACTCAGCTACTGAGTCCTGATAGCCACCTGCTTGTGCAATAGGATGAAGTTTGAATTCACTTGGTATTATTTGTTTGAATCTTCCCATTGATGTTTAGAACTGCAACTGGTCAGTCTCTAATTTGCATATGTGCTTACTGTCCCTATTGCCTTGATATTGCATGAAGTCACAAGCATTAAAAGCAAAGATGAATAGTGGCTAGCAGTGGCACTAGGTTCGAGTCCCAGAGTGCACACCAACTCTGAGATACAGGTACATCCAAATAGGACGAAACGCGTGTCCTGGATTCCACAGCTAGCCACTATCCATCTTTGCATATAATGCTTGTGAACTAAGGCAATATCGAGGCAATACGCACAGGATGTACATATGCCAACAAGAGACTGATCAACTGTAGTCCGAAACAACAATGGGTAGATTTAAACAAACAATACAAAATGAATTTAATATGTAAAGTGTGTTAAATATAAGTACATTTTTATGAACTCTAATGTCACAATTTGTAATACAATATTTATTAACAATAGATGATTTATTTCTTCAGTAAATTTAATATGAACATATATATTCCATACAAATACCTTTATATTGGTAAAACATGTTAGAATCAGTCTGTAGATTCTAATAATAACAAATGCATCTTTAGAAAAATGTGTACTTTAATGCATAAAACAATAGACTAAAAAATGCATATAAAGTATTTAGATCACGTTAATATCTGCTGGTTTCCATAATGATTATCAAATAAAAGAACATATTGGTAATTATCACATATAATTAAATGAGAAAAAACAACAATGGAAATCTTGATTATTTGTTCTGGTACGTTTGAAGTAGGAAACAGAATGAGGTAAAATAGGTTAATTCAAACAATAAATTCATGACCTAATAATGAATAACCATTTACACAATACGACTTCCAGATTGTTCTAAATTCATTTCGGTAATATA